TGGGGGGAGGGGGTCGCCGATGCTGCAGTTTATGAAGACGCGCTGTTGTTGGTGGTGGAGGCCGGCGGGGGCCTTGCCCTTGAGGTCGGAGTGGTGAGAGACGGGCGGGGGCGGGGGCGCCTTGAGGACGGAGCCGAGGGCGGAGGCATCGGGGAGGATGCGGCCGTTGTGGATGAAGCGGAGGCGGGCGAGGGAGGCTTGCGTTGCTGGGGTGGGTTGTGGTAGGTTGTTGGTGGAGGAGGAGGAGTCGGTTTCTTCGCTGCTTTCGGCTTCGGTTTCGGCTTTGGCTTCAGCGTTGGCTTTGGCTTCCGCTTCCGCAGCAACTGCGAGGCGGCCGCGGATCAGGTGTTTTAATGCGACGACGGTGGTCTGTTGTGGAGAGGGTATGTCGAGATGAAGATCGGGGAGGGCGATACTGAAGCGGATTGTGATGTGGAGAGGAGGCGGGGCAGGCGGGAAGAGCAGAGCGGACGGGCTGCGCGGGAGAAGAGGGCGGGATTCTGTCCGTATGTCTAGCCGTGTGTCTCGAGGAGGTCGAGTCGGGGAAGAAGAGGACGAGGAGCTTGCCCTCCCGGCGCCTTTGCCTTTGCCTCTAGCGCTACTCATGGTGTTGTTCAGGTTTCGACTTTGATGTGGTGGTGGCAGGGCGAAGTAAAGACCTGTAGGTCACCTGTCGGCCGTGAGGTTAATCATTTGCTGAGTTACACCTTGTAGGCCGAGATTCAGGCTCGAGGAGTTTGCTTGTTGCGATTCGGATGCGACCGATTGACATGGGCGAGAAGTTGATGATTGCCTGGTTGCATCATCCCCTGTCCTCAGCCAAGACTCTCCGGAGCTTCTCCAAATTTCCCCGCATTGGTCCCTTGGCATGCACTTTACGAAGCAGGGCCATGCAACAACACGAACGACATGGAATGGTCAAGGTCGAGATAAAATCATCGATTGTTGTGGTACGTCGGGCTAATTATGATATGTACCATCGAAACTGAAGCTGTGAAACCATGAAATCATCGATTATTTCAACAAACTGAACCGGAAAAACAAAGCATCCTCAACACTCCTAACACAGCACCATCGAGATGTATCGCCGTTTTCCTCCATCGGGCTCCAAATTTGAGTCCCGTTCCCATATCCGACCAAGCAAGTGACTTGGGTGACCCGACCAAAAAGATGTTGAGACAAAAAGACGAAAAGATTCCCCGGCATTCGTCTTGAAGCCTTACGGGAGAGTCCAGAAGAACAAGTGTGCTCATGAGCCTACTTCCCTGGCCGTGTATTCGTCGAAACATAATGAAAGATAAAGTGAGGAATCCCACTTGCGCTTTTTGACCTTGTCAAAATTCTGCGGGAATGTCGAACAAAAAGGAGATGTGGATTGAGGTCGTTGCTTCACTTGCGCTCTTTGACCTTGTCAAGGATTTGCGGGAATATCGAGCAGAAAAAGAAGACGTAGATCGAAGTTATTACTTCACTTGCGCCTTTTGACCTTGTCAAAAATGCCGAAAATGTCGAGTGTGAAAAAAAGAGGCGGATCGGGATCATTGCCTCGCTTGCACCTTTGACCCTGCCAAAGTGCCGAAGTTGTTGAGAAAAAGAAGAAAGGCATCGAGGGAGAATAAAAAGAGGGAAAAGGACGGTCAGGGTGACAAGCAGCTCACTTGTGCTCTCTGCCCTTGCCGAACCGGTTGACGCCGCACTTGTCGAGGAATCCGGTAACGGCTGTCTTTGCGCGCTCGCGCTTGCGGCCATTCCTATTGGCTTTCTCGCGCTCGTCGAGGCTGGCGATGACGTGGTTCATCATGCCCTCCCACACGCCTCGGATGTTGTCGTTGTTTCGAGCCGAGCACTCGCCGTAGCCGCTGGCGTTGATGGCTGCCGCTGCTTGCTGGCCCTGTGATGGGGGTGTAAGTTCGGCTGGCAGAAGAAAGGGGGGACGGTTGGGGGTGTGGCGCGGAGTAGGTAAGGTGTGAAGGGGAGACGCAGGCCGTACACGGTGAGGTGTACGGCAAAAAAGCACTAACCTCAGGACACGCATGACTTACCATCTCGGCCGTGGCCCGCTCCCGGGTCGGTAGGAAGGAGAGACCTAGCGTGGGATAGGCCGGGCGGAGGTCGCGCTTGAGACCGAGTACGAAGATGTGCCGGTCGTGGAGGCAGGCATCGAGCTTGGGTTTCCACTGTAAGAGTCGGTCAGTCACTTTCCCTCTGCACCATCACCTTTTATCAGAGCAACAACATACCACATCGGCGATGCTCCTCAAGTTACGCTTGTCCTCGAGACTGAAGCAGATGACGGCGGCATGGAAGAAGGTTGAGAGGAGCGGACCGGGGCGCGAGCCGCCGGCGACGATGCCCGGGAAGTCCCACAGCTCGACGTTGACATCGGATTTGTCCTCGGCGCGGACAATTATGGACTTGAAGTCCGGGACGAGAGAAGTTCCAGTCTGTGCCAGGCTCAGTCAGTTCACCGGCCATCCCAACCTGCGACGGAGAAAGAGTGCACTTACCGAGACGAAAGAATTTCCCACCAACCGGCTGTAAAGTGTACATCTCACGTTAGCATCGCAGATCAAAAACCAACCCCCAGCAGTTTCTCCCCTTCGCAAACCAATCCGAAACAAACAAACCAAACCAAAGAAGAAAAAAGCCCAACTTACTTAAACAGCGTGGTCTTCCCGGCCCCCACATCCCCCACCAAACACACCTTAACCGTTCGCGGAGCAACTTCGCTCGGCGCCGCAGACGCAACCCGCGAGAGCAAAGAGAAGGGGGTGAAAACCCGGCCGGGGCTGGGCGGAGGGCGCGGCGAGAGGGAAGCGAGGCCAGAGCTGCCCAAGTCGGAGCCGGGGACGAAGCCGGAGGCGAGAGCGGATGCTGGCGCGAACGGGGGGACGGGCGGGCGGTTGGTGGCGCCTGTGGTGGTGGTGGTGATGGTGCCGGTGGGGTGGGCGGCGGACGAGGCGGGGACAAGGGGGGACTGGGGGAGCGGGGTGGTGGTCCGGGTCCGGCCGCTCAGGCGCGAGAAGGTGCGCTGGATGGCAGCGCTGATGCGGCTCCGCTTGGGGGCGGGCTCGGCCGTCTCATTGCCGTCGTTGGTGGTGGGGGGGAGTGGCTTGTAGAATATTAGCTTGGGTGTAGCCGTGAAGAGGAGATGGGTTTGTGTGAAGCTGGGATGGCAAATAATGCCAGAACTGATTTCTAGCAGATGGTTTGTCTGCTGCACCAGAAATGCGTCCATTGGGTTCGGTGGATTCGTTGTCAGAGGATATGAACTTACGGCGCTGCGCTTGTCGCCGGCCCGGGCACTCTCTTCCGTATCGAGGGCGGTGGCCTCACCCACGGTACTGCCGCCTTGTACAGCAGCAGGGACGGTCTCCTCCTCCTCCTGGCGCCCGAACGAAAGAGCCTGGAGCCTTCCCAGCCTACATAGACGTGTCAGTTCTATTTCTTTCAGGGTCTAGTGAGGTGGTCATAAAGCAAACGCAGAGGAAAAAAACGATGGACGGAGCCCGCAATACAACTCACCAGTCCTCCATCCTCGGCGACGTCTCGAAGTGCAGGTTTTCCTGCCCAACGAGATACGCCTGGCCCATAGAGGCCACCCGGCGCCGGAGACGGGTCTGGCTGGGGGCCAGCGAGTGGGGGTGGTGGTGGTGGCGGCGGGGGGAGGGCGGACGGCGGGCGGGCGAGGGGCAGCGACGGGGGCGGCCACGGGTGCTCCGTCGTCGGAGCCGATGGGAGTGGTCGGCGGGGCCGTGGTGCCGGGCCTCACCGCGCTTTCGAAGGTGAATTCGAAAGCGCGGTGCCCGCGGGCACCGGCGTTGGTGGTGGGTGGCGGGGTGGTCTCCCAGGCGGTTGGCACCCCCATCCGGCGCATGAGGCTGCCCGGTTGAGGGCGCCCTCCCGCCATTGGGAGTGGGATCGGCGGCGACATCGAGATCTTGATTTTATTTATTTAGAAAAAAAAAGAAAAAGAGGGCGCGACGGCGAAGGCGGCCAAACGGTGGCGGCGAGGTTCTGGTCGAAGAAAGGAAAAGAAGAGGGAGAAAGTTTAGCTCGATCGAAAGACGCGACTTTATTAACTACCAGCCAGTTCTGGGGAGGGAAGGAGTGAAAAGATGGCCCGAGCGCCCATTTCGTCGTATCTCATGATGCAGTGCCTGAGAAGAGGGGTGAACTTTTCGGTGTTTTGGTTTGTTTTAGGGTGGGGGTCAAGAGAGCATTTTATCACCACTGCACTTGCAAAAACAAGATCAGCACAGACCGGGGAAGTTGCCGAGACAGTTCTAACAAAGCCAAAAAATAGGCTCAGGGGTAAAGTAAACAAAGCTGGTCAAAGGAGGAAGGTAGAAGGAGGGAATCTCGGAGCACATGATTGCTCCCAGGGATTGGATAGGGATACTTTCTTAGCCAACTCATCTGGTATTCAAGTTATACAGTTCAACATGAATGGCCCCATCGGGTATTTTGTCTTGTTATGGATTTAACTGCTGTTGCTCGAGTCCGAAATAGTCACAGGAAGGAGTTGATATTGACCTACCGGGGCATAACCACTCGTTTGACGCATGTAAGACACCATCCCCAAATGCCAAGCACGGGCCAGTCCGGTCCCACGCCGGCCGATTGCGCCATTGCGTTCTAAGGTCACTGTAAACTCAGGCCCGGAGAACAGTGGAAACTTGTCGCGTGCCGATGACGGACAAGCATTTCGGCTGCACCTTTTTGAGAGAACGGGATTCCCAGGCATTCCCGGCAGTGGCCGTTTCAAAGCGCAATCCGCAATCCGGGGTTCGGCTTCCGAATAGCGCTAATTCATGTTCCTTATGACTGTATCCCTCTCTGTGGACCCCATTCTCACGTAAAACGTAAAGGCGGCGGCGCACTTCCACTTGCACTCGCACTCGCACTCATGAACTCGCTGTTTCCTGTCCGCGCTTTTTTCCGTCGATCCTCGACTCCTCTCTCCATTGCAAGGCGACTGCACACTACCCCCGTCATGACCGAGAAGATGAAACCCGCCGCCCGTGTCTCGGGCCGGCGACAGGATGTGTGGTGAGGTTATTCATATTTATTGTCCATTCTCCTCGCGAAACATGGAAACATGGGCTAAATGAGCTCACCAGGACCATCATCAACGAAGCTGCTGCTGCGTCTCCCAAGCAACCCATCGTCAACATGGGCCAGGGTTTCTTTGGTTACAACCCGCCAGACTTCATCCTCGATGCCGCCAAGGACGCTCTAAATCGGGTCGATTGCAACCAGTACTCTCCCACCAAGGGCCGTCCACGGTTGAGAAAGGCCATCTCGGAAGCTTATGCGCCTTTTTGGGGACGGAAGCTGGACCCGGAAACCGAGATCACCATTACCACGGGGGCGAATGAAGGTGCGCACCCCTGAATCAACAAGCTATCATCAGACAGATCGTTGACTCTGTCTGACAGGGATGTTGAGCGCCTTCATGGCCTTCATTGAGCCCGGGGATGAGGTCATTATTTTTGAGCCCTTCTTTGACCAGTAAGTTCCTAGGGTTATGCCCATGGCACACGCTGACCTGGACCAGATACATCAGCAACATCGAAATGCCCGGCGGCAAGATTGTCTATGTGCCCATGCACCCACCCAAAGAAGGCGCCGTCAAGACCCTCTCGGCCGGAGAATGGACCATCGACTTTGACGAGCTCGAGCGCGCCATCACGCCGCGGACCAAGATGATGGTTCTCAACACGCCGCGTATGTGTTGGGTCTGACACCACAGTTTGGCCGAGTGACTAACATGAAGTAGACAACCCCATCGGCAAGGTCTTCTCCCGCGAGGAGCTCCAAAAGATCGCCGACCTCTGCCTCAAGCACCAAATTATTATCCTGTCCGACGAGGTCTACGACCGGCTGTTCTACGTGCCCTTTACCCGCATCGCGACACTGTCACCAGAAGTCGAGCAAATCACCCTCACGGTGGGATCAGCAGGCAAGAACTTTTACGCCACCGGTTGGCGCGTCGGTGCGTCCCGTCTCCTCGTCCCCCGTCTACCCCTACCTACCCCCCCCCAAAAAAAACAAAACATATCAACACAACCGCAAGACTAATACTAAACCACCATCTAGGCTGGCTGATGGGCCCTCCCCACCTAATCCAATACGTCTCAGCCGCCCACACCCGCATCTGCTACTCCTCCGTCTCTCCCCTCCAAGAAGCCTGCGCCATCGGTACGTGTTGCCCCCTCCCCCCCTTTTATTATTTCCTTCCCTCCTCTCCCATAAATCTAACACACCACTAACCACACAACCCCAACAGGCTTCGAACAAGCCGACGCCCACTCCTTCTGGCCCACATCCATCGCCTCCCTCCGCCACAAACTGACCCTCTTCAACTCCGTCTGGCACGAACTGGGCATTCCCTACTCCGAGCCCGAAGGCGGCTATTTCGTCATGGTGAACCTATCCGGGGTGGAGATCCCCGCGGACTACCCGTTCCCGCCCCACGTGGCGGAGCGCCCGCGCGATTTCCGGCTGGCGTGGTTTCTGATCCAGGAGCTCGGCGTGGCGGCGATCCCCCCGAGCGAGTTCTGCACGGATGAGAACAGCCATTTGGTGGAGGACTATCTGCGGTTTGCCGTGTGCAAGCCGGATGAGGTGCTGGAGGACGCAAAGGAGCGGCTGAGGGGGCTGAAGCCGTTTTTGAAAAAGAAGGATTAAAGGGGGGCTGCGTCTGGTTGCCCAATTGCACTGTGCAAATACCAAAAGATCAACAACCGTCGCGAGTTTTGTTTCTCAATCTCAGAGGTCTTGTAACGAGACAATAGAAAAAGAAGACGGCCAAAGTATGTTAGAAGGCCGGAATCTACCCTAAGATATTCTTCTTTGCTCTGACAACCTCTATCCCTGCATGCTTGTATGTATGCATCTCTTTAGCGACGCCTATTACCAACACCACCTGGTCAACCCGTCGCCTATAACAACTTTCTTCTAACGCTGCTGAGATATGACAACTCGCTCAATATTTCACCACACAACCCCCGAACCCGTACCACTGCCAGACTCATTAACAAGCATATACGAGGGCGCCGCACACACAAACACACCTGACAAACCAAACCTAGTTTTATCAGACTTTCCGCCGAGTAAGGCGATCCCAATACCGGGATAGGTCCCCCCAAGTGGCCTTCGGAGGTAGCTGCGTTCATGGCTAGTTAGTTCAGGCGAACTATGAACGCAGATGAGAAGGAACAGAGCTGCAGTCTTCTTACCTCAGGTGCCTTGGAGCCCCTGGATTGTACCTGAGAGCCACTCGCAGGGGCCTTGGCGCCCCGAGATTGTACCTGCGAGACACTGGCGGCTGTCTGAGAGGCAGAACCACTACCAGCGCTTGCAGAGGAGAATCTCAGCTGGCATCATCGCCATGTCAGCTATTACTCCCAAAGCAAAGGCAAAAACAGAAAACAGAACAGGCAACTTACCTTCCCCCACGGAACGCGCCGGGAGCAAAAAGCCAGAATCCGATCCAACCTCATTTGCATCTTGCCCACTTTGTCGTCCGGTGTCCCAGTCTGCAGCATCTCCCACATGATCGACACCGCGATCAGGTCGCCAAAATGACGGCTGTCAGTCAGCTTCACAAACCCCAACCACTTCTCCAGCACGACGTCCACGATCTGCAGCATGTCCCCAACCTTGCAACCCAATATCTCCGGCCGATTCTCCTCCCCATGCTCATCAGGTCCCCTTGCCTGCTTCACAAAATAACATACACCATACGCTGCGTCGGCCACGGCCTCGTACAACACAGACAGCTCCTTGCGGGGGATTGTGGGGGCACCGGCGGAGTGGGCATCTTTTAGGTAGGTAAGCACGGCCAAGCAAGAGGTGAGGTAAGCGCGCTGGATCTCCTCCGGGCAATTGTGGTAGCCGAGCGCGAAGGGCTCGTAAAGAACTAGGAGCGATAGCCGCACGTGGAGGTCAAGGCGAACGCAGTGGTACCATTTGCGGTAGCTACTGTCCGGGCCAAATTGGGGTGGACCTGGGATGGGGGGGAAGAACTTGCTTATGTCGTTTAACTTTCCCTCGAGCTCGCGGCCGATTTTGAGGACTTCGTCGGGACATCCCAAGGTGCGTGAGCGGGCGAGGAGCTCCGATGCTTGAGTGCGGATTTTGAGCGTGCTCCAAGCGTAGGCTTGGAGGTGGTTTTCGGTGATCTCGTCGAGGGGCCGAGATATAGGCACGTCCTCTACGTTGGGATTTATCTCATCATCGTCGAGGTTGCTGGGTGATGCACAACCAACGAGCTCCAACCTGAACGCGCAAGGGAGTTTGCGCTGCATCGAGGTTTGGATATCCTGATCCATGATCGTGAACCACAGCCTACGTCGGCACTCCTTTTCTGCTGCCGAGGTGACAGCCCCCTGGGTTAGACCCTGATGCAGTCCGATCTCCATTCCCATCCGGACAAGAGTCCCTAAGTCTGTCCATTTCAACGACTGTCGAGTCTGGAAATCCATAATGGCGAGGGAAACCAATAGTCTACCCTGTAGAGTCCAGATATCTGATGGGTCAGTTTTCAGTCTTTTTTTAACCCACTCTGTGGCGAGAGACAAAGCCGTGGGGATATGAATCGTGGCAGGTTCGTTTCTGCCAAGGTCGTGCAAATCCTGGTCGAGCTGAGCGGCGGTACAGAGGATGCAGAGGAGACGGGGGAGGAAAGAGTCGTGTGTATCTTTACGGTCCCAGTACCTGTTATACTCCTCCATGAAGGGACGGGCGAGTATCGTTCGATAGAGGCGGTCGGATGCGGCGAAGTAGAGATTTATGAGATTGTCACACGTCTCTCGAGCCGGCAGTATTCTGGCCATGCGCCACGGGAGAGGGATCCTGGAGTCGAAAAATGCAGCGATAGGTTGGAGAACAGACCGTTGCTCCCGTCGGAGGGTAGCCTACACCCCCCACAAAGCATCCAAGCTATCAAACAAAGTAGTCCCTTGTGGGCAAGCTGCGATGAATTCATGGGCCTCTTCTAACTGGCAACTAGGTTAGCTCGTCTCTCTTGCTACGTAACAATGAGCTGGGCCCTCACATCGTTAAGAACCCTGTCAAGTTTTGAGACTTCAGGTCTTTTAGTGAATTGGTTCTTTTTTGGTACGGGAGCTTGGCCTTCAGTAGGCCTGCTGTCGACGATAATTTCGAAATCGTTGTACGTATTGGTTGAATGTGATTCACATGTGCAATCTGCGGTTTTTTGTTGGAACTGGCCGCAGGGCTTCTCTTCGTCGTATCCTTTTCCATGTTGTCTGTGTTTGTATCAGCATCGACTTGACACATTGTCAAATGACAGGCTTGCTGCATCTCACAAGCATTGGGGACTAAATTTGACTAACTGTCTGTCCTTTCCAGGCGGGGGTGGTGTAGGCAAGGCCGCTACAACCGAGGGCGTTGGAACCGAGGGCGTTGGAACCGAGGGTGTGGAAGACGAGCCCGGGGTTTGGTTATCCGATTCGGCTTCCATTTTAACAATGGCGAGGGGGTGCTCGTGAATTAACTGATACAAAACGTCAATGTAAACGAGCAAGAATATTACCAAGATCGGATGGTAAATGTGTATCTGCTGTTCTCTGGTGATAGAAGTAGAGGAAGCTCAAAGCATGCTTGTCCGTCGATGACGGCGGTTTAGGGCACCGAGCGAGTGTGCCTGACTTGCCGCGGGGACCTAAGAAGGGAAGGAGTGTCAAAACGAACCATTGATGGCAGCCAAACTCGCTAGCAAGCAGGCCCGACGGTAAGTAAGCCCCGGGCCTTTCAGGGAAGGTGATACGGGCAGCGTGGTTCCAGGTCGGGCCAAGTCCATGTAGTGTAGACTGCGTGTCTGGAAAACCAGTAAGGGACAGGTGCCGTATCCGAACCAGGAAAGCTCGAGTGACGGCAACAGCTTCAGTTTCAGGGGCCCTTGTTCATGCAGACCGGGAGCCTCCGGCCAAACAAACTCGAAGATGGTACCTCCACAGGAAGATGGATGCACGTCATGGTGATATCGGACGCCACAACCAAAGGCAACAGAACACAGCCCGTGTTGGCTACCGAAGCAACAAAGAGAAGACTCGCCGGTCGATGCTAACCCGTATCATGTCAAGCCTCGCAGGAAACGAGAAAGGAAGCAGTAGGTAGCTCCCCCTCCCCTCCCCCACCCCACCACACCCACACCACACCCCATGTCATGCCATACCCAATCATTAATTTACTGCTCCTCAGCCGGCAGTTCCACGCTCTTCTCGACGCCGTCGGCCTCGCCGCTGTTGACCTTCTTCCCCGTCTTCTTGATGGTGCGCAGCACCTTCTCGTAGGTCAGCGACTCCTCGGCAACGACTGTGGCCGTCTGCGATTCGAGCGAGACCTCGTACGACTTGACGCCTGTTCCGCGCGGTCATGTGTTAGCGCTTCCCTTGTTTTGGTTCGTTTCTTGGTTGGGCTTGCATAGAGGCTCGCAGAGAGGGGGGTAGGTGGGAAGGGAAGGGAGAATTTGGGGTGTGGGAATGGTGGATGGATGGATAGACGCACCCTCGAGCTTCTTGAGCACGCGGTCTACGGCGCCCGAGCAGCCGCCGCACGACATGCTCACGTTGAACTGGTACTTGTGCTCGACCGCATCGGGGGAGGCAGCAACGACGTCGGCCATGGCGTGTCTGTTTTCCTTGACGTTTCTTGGTTGGAGGTGATTCGAGTGCTGAGGATGCGAGTAGAGCGATCGCAAGGTGATCTAGGGTCTCGAGTCTGGGATTGTCTTAGGGTTTGCGATGGTGTTGTAAGTATGTATAGTTCGGTCACAAAGTCGCCGAGATATTGCAGGGGCTGGCGCGAGTTTATATCTCCAAAGGAAAGAGGTGGTGTGGTGGTAGTGTTTGGGTGTGTGAGGTGTGTGTTGGTTTGAGACGGAGCTGCCCCGCGGTCCAGGAGGGGGCGGGGATGGACCCTCCTTTTTAGAGACGGAAAGGTGCCAGATTGCGACAATTGTGCCAGAAAAGCAACCACGACGACCGGCTTGTGACCTCTGGGCAATTGCGATATTTACGCCGTAAAAGGCGATGGATGACACCGTATTAATAATGTGCTCGATGACGTTGATCTTAATCGAACATCTTCCGTCCCCCGCGTTCCACTGCTTACACAGCTCCTCGCCACGCCCTAAAAACCCAGGGCACTTGACAGGCACCGACAGGCTCTGACAGGCTCCCCAAGGCGTGCTTGAGTTTGTCTCAGGTACCATCGTGTTTGGCACATCCCATCTTGCATTGTCTCCACCTTGGCGCCGTACGAACTTGAGGGGCCCAAGCAGTGACCTGAGCCAGTTTCACGACAAATTGTTAGCGTGTCTGTGTTTGCGCCCTGAATATGAAACATGCTCAAATGGATCTGACTCACTGTTACACACCTTGAGCTCAGCCCTCAAAGACCGAGTTTCGGGCCTCCACTCCGTACCTTATCGGAGCTAAGTAACTCTTGACTTCGTAATGCCGAGCGCTTCCGGACAGAGGCACTCCGGTAATAATAAAGAATAGGCCGGCACAGGAGGACGGAAGGTCGGGAAGCTGCCGCTTTGCCGAAGGCTCTGGAGAGGTTGCTCAACACCTGCCAAGCCTACATTTTTGCCTTGGTGATGGACCTTAACAGTCGGGTGTGGTTTTATCCAAGCGTGGGCTGCACAGCAAAAGATGAGAGAAACCAATTGTGTTTCTAAATGTATTCTCCCTGCGAAATACAAAATAGGTCCATCGCTGACCGCAGATCCGCAGAGCCGCAGAGCCGCAAGCCATAGCCATCTGGCATCATCATCAAAAAAGTAGTTAACCCAAAAACCAACCCTACTCACTGTCTTGCCGCCCCGCCCTGAAAAGCAACCGCATCCTCAAACTCATCATCATCCGAGCCATCCTCATCCCGGCCATCATCATCATCATTTTCATTCCCATTCTCATTCCCCTCCGGACCATCCCCATCCCAGTCACCACCACCCTCATCATCTTCATTCCCGCCCTGCCCCATCACAGCAGCCCTCAAACGCTCCGCAACCATCCCCGGATTCTCCACCAGCTCCACAATATCCAGAATAGCCGCCCTCGCAGCAGCCAGACTCCTCGCCATAGCAGCAGGAGTAGCATCAGCACCATCACCAACACCAACACCAGCACCAGCGCCCTGCATGGCAGCGAGGAGCGCATGGCCCCGTTCCCCCACCCCCGCCCCGGCCCCGGCCCCCACCCCGGCCAAGGACGACCACGGCAGCCGCTGCGCGGGGCTGGAAAACACGTTGTCGGCCAGAGGGGGCGGCATGGGGTCGAACTCGAAGTTGGGCGAGGCGGCGTGCAGCAGGTTCCGCGGCACGGCGGCCATGAGGGCGGGGGTGTTGTCGAGGTAGATGAAGCGGGTGGTGGCGAGGGAGATGGGGGTGGGCGGGGGCAGGTTGGCGGTCGGGACGGCGGTGGGGATGGCGGCGGCCGCTTGGTTGAGGAGAGTGATGCGCTGCGGCGTGTTCCACAGCTCTTTGGCCATGTGGATGTAGAGCTTTGTGTGCAGGGCTTCGTCGTCGTTGCGCGGCTGGATGCCCCACACGGCGCGCGGGGTGTCGAGGTTCAGCGCGCTGAAGAGGGCGCAGTAGAGCCAGGGGAGGGTTTTCATGCCCTCGGTGAGGGTGGATATAGCGGTGGGGGTATCGTCGAGCTGGAGGTAGGCAAGGGGGAGGCTTTGTTTAGCGTAGATGTTGCTGGGGTCGTTGAAGAAGTCCGAGTTGCAGAAGTCGATGAACCACTTTGGCTCGTATGCCCGGATGGCGAGGACGTGGATCCAGTTGCCCATGCCGTAGGGGTCGTCGTGGTTGATGCTCAGAAAGAGCTTAGACCATTCCAGCGCTGTCCGGTAGGTGCCCTTCAAGACCTGTTTTTGTATGAGGTTCCAGCCAGCGAGGTAGAACTGGCGGTTCTCGGGTCTGGCAAAGCTCATTCTCGCCTGGCCCATCTCCAGCTTCTTGCGGAACCCATTGAGGCTGACTCGGCCGAATGCGAAGACGGCGCGCTCGATGAGGTCTGCTGCGAGAGCGGCGTTCTGGTCCTGGCGGGCAACCTTGCTCACCTGGAGAAGCGAAGAGACGTGATACGGGTGCCGATACAGGAAAGTGACAATCTGCATGGGGTCCATCATCTGAACGAGGGTGAAAAAGGTGGCTTCCAGGGAATCGTAACCGGCGTCGAATGCAAAAGCAAACTCAACATGGTCCCGCGATTCATCAGTAACGCGGACCATCTTGAGGCCCAGCGGCGGGCCCGGGGGCCACGTCTTCTTGCCGTCGATGAAAGGATTCGTGCGGAGAGCAGCGTCAAAAACGCCATGGGACACGTTTCCCTGACTTCTGCTGCCTCGGGGCCTGCCCTGGCCAGGGTTCTGGAACGCACGAGCACTGAGGAAGGTCTCCAGATCCACGCCCTCCCGAGGCAGCACACCCCGCTGGTTGTCCTCAGCCCGCTGCTCCAGATCGGCCACCTCTATCGCCTTCCCGAAAATCCTGCGCATCTCGTTCATGGCCTTGAGATGCTGCAAGTTGATACGCAGTAGGTTATCAAGGGTGCTGGTCGGCTTATCGGCAGATGCAGCAACGGTAGAACCACCTAACGGGCGCTCCTCCAGTCTCAGCTCCTCAAGGGCCCGGTCGACTTCGTCGATAGACTTGCGTTCATTTTGAGCCGGGGCTGACGGGTTGGGCTGCTTGCCCTTCTTCTTCTTCTTTTTGTTCTTCTTCTTGCTGGTCTTGGCGGGTGTTGCTGGTTCGATGACTTCAGGTTGCTCCTGGTGTGCTTGATGAGAGACCTCTTCCTCGTTGCTCTCATCATCATCGTTGTCATCCTGCAGGGCACCAAAGCCAGAAAACATGTTGCCACGGGGCTTTGTAATGATGGGTTCGTCATCCGAGGATTCCTCTCCACTTTTGCCAGCAGTCTCATGTTGGAGGTTAAGCAGCTCCTTTTGCTTCTGGAGCTTTCTCAGTTGACGGCTAGCCATGATGAAATCACCTTGGTTCTCTCTTAAAAGTAAGGCAATGTGTGGTTAAAGCGATGGGAGAATGACAGTCTCGTTTGGCGGGGCTATATGGTTAGGTGGGTCAAATCGAGACTGGTGGGTAAGGAGAGCCTGGAGTACGTAGAAAGAGCGAGAACAAAAACGAGTGAGTGGAGGAGGGAAGTTGAGAGCAACTGGAAGTCCGGCCGTTTACTTATAGATTGCCTTTCCAAATTTTTTGGAAGATAATCAATCGAATGTTGGGTTTTCCTTCATTTGAGACCTTAATGTAAAGTACCTGTGCATCTCTATCTTTAATCCGTGGAAGGTCTTATGATTGCAATCCGTCTTTCTTGCGGTTTCGCCGATGGGTCACCGGGCGGACTCTCCGGCGGAGAACAGGACACGTGATCATGCCTTCAAGCCATGATTTTGTTCGTAACTAACGCGCTAACCCCTTTGGGATTAGTATTCCGCCTCCTATCCTCGAGTCTCTCTCCCAAAACACCAAATATTCCCGAATCGGTTTCCAAGTTCTAGATCATACATAAGTGTGCTCCCTCAGTGTACAAATCTCAATACATACCGTGGTCTTTACAAGCAGAGGTAAAAGCCGTCACGCTTACACGATCTGTCTTTTGTGCACTTTCCCCCAAAACAGCATCTTCCTGCGTAGAAGCTGGCTGCCCGTGCTTCGTACTGGCTGGTCTTCTATTTATTTTGTATGCACAGCAGGAATGTCCCTCTCAAAACGGCCGAGGCGAAAGTTGGGTGCTATTAATGTCACCTAAAATCCCTGCGTGGCGGCCACTAGTTCGGTTCGCAATCGGAGCATGATGCAGCTCGGCGCTGTTCTAGCCCATCGATAGCGAGTGAGCCTCGAGAGGCTGAAAGGAACCCCTGCATCCGCTCCCACAAACGCACTGTAAACGCTGGCGAGGCTTCCCCCTCACCCGGCCCGCTCCCTCCTTTCCATGGGACCGCGTAGCTTTTTTCTTTTCCATCATTATCCTGAACTGTGAGAGATGGGACAGGCTTGCCTGTCATGGCGGGTCAGAAGCATGATGACAGCCGCGTCACACGATGGTGGTGTGTGTTGGGACTGGTACTGAGTTGGTTTGTTGGAATCGGCGCTCTTCTCGCTGGTGGGATATGCGTTTATCTGGAAGCGCGGGAACGGAAATGCTGCCCACATCCATCTCGTACATACCTGGAAGGAGGTTCTGCCTCTAGGACTCAATATCTTCGGTATGGCTTTTCGATTAGTCGATTCCTTCCTGCTCCGTGCCACTAAACCTCGTCTCTGCTTAGTGACGCTCCTCAACGACAGCATGGGCTACATCCATTCCTGCTCCCTCCGCTGGTCCTTACAACGAGAAGGCAAACTCGACTTCAACTCAAACCTGCGTCTACTTACCTCGCCGAAGCACAGTCGACCCAACGGCATGATACCAAACGCCGTTTACCTCATCGGCATTGTTCTCTCGTACGGTTCAACATCCCTTATTTTTCTAAGCTTGAATCCGGAACTGGCGCGGCTGCTGGGCAAAGACTACGATAGCGATGACATTGACGGCGTCCACATCAACCCCGTTGCCCTTTTTACCTTGGGCGCTGGGTTCCTGCTACAAGCCATCATCACCAACTGGGCGTTGGTCGAGACCAACATACCGACTTGGAGCTCCAACCCTCTCGACGTCGCCCGCGTGTGTACCGTTGACGAACACGACGGCCATCGGGTCGAGCCAAGAATTGGGAGGTGCATGATGAGCGTTCATCTAGCAAAAGAAGACGCGAGGTGGTGCAAGCCGAGGCCAAAACAGGGGCCCATGATCACAGCGCACTCTCATGTCAGGCGGATCCTGATCCTCCTATGGATACTTCCGATACTAAGCGGTATCTGGGGCAGCGGCGTCTACGGCTACCTCCTCAAAGGCAGCCAAAATAACGTTTTCGGAAGATCCTGGTCACTGCTCCCCATATTCACGGGCAGTACCGATTCCAACTGCAGCACCCATCAATGTACGGACGGTACGTCGGTCGTCAACGTTGGCTGGACCGCCAACGGAGCGGCCGGTGTTGTTGGCGCCGTCTTTCTCATCATGGCCTTCCAGTCTGTCGTCACACTCTCGCTACATTGCGCAGAACTGATCGTCAATTTGTCCCGAGACGAGAAAGTATACCGCGGACTTCTCGGGTTGAGGGGCACCAACGGCCATCACAACTCGGTCCTCGCGGCCTTCACTTCGTGGCAGACACTGTTCTTGTTCGCCCTCAAGGCGGGTGTTCACTGGATGTTTGGTCTTGCCATCAACTTGCAGTTCCAGCTCGGCGTCAACATGCACCCACCACAAATCTTCTACTTCTCCGCCTTCTGCCTAGCAGCCGCCATTTTTGGATTGCTCCTTTCCGTGTGGCGGCCTGCGGGCTACCTTCCTGCCGCGTACGGCCATATCCAAACCATCGCCGACGTCGTCGACGAGTGGGCCGACTCTGGCGCCATGTTTTGGGGCGAGAAAAAGGCCGGCAACCCCGGGTACACCGGCACAAGCACCCACCGGCTTAAGCAACCAGATGAGAGGATGTGGTACGGTGGCCAGCCCGAACACCGGTCGTCACAGGTCCGGGATAGTGCAGTACCCACAGAGCTGTATAACCTCGCCCCATCGAATGCCACGCCGCCGATACAACCCTTCTTCTACCCAACGACACCTCCGCCCTATCCTCCTGCCGGCCCACCGCATATGCAACATAACTCGTACTCCCAGTGGGCCCAGCAAGCGCACCAGCAAGCGCAGAATCGGCCGAGCCATCACAGCTTGAACAGCGCCTTCTCGGGAATGTCAGGGTACTCATACAACTCGAACTACAGTGCCCAGAGCACTCAGCCATTTCTCGGGAATCAGAGGGCTTGGTAATTGTGATTGCATCTGTAGGTTATTATTTTGGTGTTTGGGAAGAAATGATAGGGAGCATTGCATGGATTGGTGTCGGCTGCTTTTAGGACCACATTAACATCTCTTAATTGAATTAACGTTAGTTATACATGTCACATAAACAAGTATCCGACCACCTTCCGGCCAAAAGAAAAGCTAAACTCTAAAGGGGGCAAGAAATCAAGGAAAGTGAGAAAAAAATAAAAGGAATCTGGGTGAGAAAGGGGTAAAGAAAACCAAGGAAAAGAAGAGGTAAAAGGAATCAACAAATAAAAGCAGCCCAGTGAATGAGCAAAAGGGAAAGTGCTAAATGTGGCGGGGCAGGATTTGGCCAACAGAGATGGGTGCACGGACCATTTATGGACAGGCGAGAATGGGGGAGGCTGAAGAAGCTGCTGAATTTTCGTGGTTGTGCATCCTTTTCCACCCCTCGCTTTCCCTTTTCAACCTTCCAAGAAGCACAAAACCACCACAAACCATGATGCGCTGCTCAAGGACCCAAACCACTTCCTAATCAACCTTTTTCTTTGAGGAGGCATCGTCGACTTTTCTTTCTTATTTTTTTTTTTTTTTCACCTTCAATACCCGCGCGCCAATTTCCATCATTGGACGGCGTTCGGTGTAGCACGTTGCATTTCGTCACTACTTTCACATCAAGATGTCCGAATTTATCGGGTTCGTGTGCCAGCCGATCGACGCCTGCATTTCCAACCCAGCGACCCACTAACTGTTTTTCATGCTATAGCGCCAGAATATCTTTGATATCCCGGAGCGATATTCGGTAGGTCCCAATCCCGCTGCCCCTCTGTTTGCCAGCTGTCTTGCTAACAAGCTGTGTCTAGCTATTCCGGTACACTCCACAGCATCAACTCAGATGACTCAACCGTCTCGCTCGAAAATGTGAGGTCGTTCGGCACCGAACACCGGAAAACAGATCCCGAGGAGTTCGTTCCGGCCTCTGAACAGCTCTACGAGTACATTGTCTTCCGTGGCACAGATGTCAAGGACTTGAGGATTGAAGAAGGTCCGGCGCCTGCTAAAGAGGAAAACCCCCCCCGCTGTACCGAATGACCCAGCGATCCTTGGTGTGAGTACAATCCTGCCTGTCCATTGCATTCCTAGCCCGGCCCTTCATGATGAACTATTTCGGATGTAAAACTTTACTTGTCTGAAAAGCGCAAACAAACAATGTTGAGATTTCCGTTGCCTTCCTTCTGATCAATGGCCACAAAACCAATCCGCATTTCAAATCCTCAGTTCTGGGTGGAGTTGCTAACAAACCCCGCTCAAGGCTCGACCTCGGCCCGCCAATGCAGCTCCTGGCCCGGCCGGTCCTCCTGGACCTCAAGGCCCCCAGGGGCCCCAAGGCCCGATTGGCCATCCCGGTGCTCAGAACCAGCAAGGTCCTCCGCCTGGTCCGCCTGGTCCGCCAGGCTTCGGCTACTTTCCCCCGCACATGGCAGGCTGGGGCCGTGCCGGTGGGCCGGGTCCCGGTCCCGGCCCTGGCCCGTTTGGTGGCATGCCGTATCCGCCTCCGGGGTGGTTTCCGCCTGGGCAAGAATTCCCGCCTATGGGGCACGGCCCGTGGAACCCCTATGGTTTCCAACCCGGCCCTGGCGGCCCCCCCGGTGCTCCCGGTGCTCCAGGCGCTCCAGGTGGACCAGGTGGACCCGGTGCGCCCGGCGCTCCTGGGCAAGGCCGACAGTCGGCAAACCAGCCCCCCAACGACCAAGGTCCGACACAAAAGCCGGCGCCAATTGGGCCTGCCGCCGACAGGAAGCCTGCGACCCCTTCTCAGCAAGCTGGCCCCCCGTCTGAGCCCAAGGCTATGGCCCAGGCAGCGAAGCAGCCGACCACTGCAGTTGCGCCCCCGCCGCCAATGGAGTCGAAACCAACAGCTGAGGAAGTGAAGGCAACCGCTGCGTCGCTTTCCAATAACGCTACGGCCCCTACAGGCCAGAATGTGCCCATCCCAACCGGGCCGAAGAGCAGCCGTCCCACCCAGATTCTGCCTGCAGTTCCTCTACCGGCTGCTCTTACTGCCAAGGCTGCTCAGGCTCAAGCTCCCAAACAAGCTCCTGGCCACACCAGCGCGGCAGCCGCGGCGGCGGCTCTGAGAGATGCTACCCAGGCTGCCAAAGATGCCGTGGCAGTTGCCATGGCCCAGCTTGACGCCCCTACCGCTACACCCCAACAGCAACCGGAGGCCAATGGCATTAGCAACCTCAGTAAGAAGGTGGAAGAAATGAGGATCAATGCCGCCCGCACAGGCCAGAATAATCGGGGTGGTCGTGGTCGCGGCCCTCGCCCCACTAAAGTTGAGGTCCCTGACTCGGATTTCGACTTTGCGTCATCGAACGCTAAATTCAATAAGCAAGACGTCGTCAAGGAGGCTGTTGCAGGGTCACCTCTTACCGAGGCTGCGTCGTTTACAGAGGGTGCCGTTCCGGAGGCTGCGCCCGATGCCGCGGCCCCGGTCGAGGCGGCATACAACAAGTCGAGGTCATTCTTCGACAACATCTCGAGCGAGATGAAGGACCGGGAGAATGCGACGCAGAGGCTAGGCGGGGCTCAATGGCGCGGCGAAGAAACGCGCAAGAACATGGAGACCTTCGGCCAGGGTAGCGTTGATGGAGGTCACCGTGGTTTCCGCGGCGGACGTGGCCGTGGCCGTGGCGGTCGTGGTCGGGGCTACCGGGGTGGGCGTGGCGGTAACGGCGGTTTCCGTCCGCACCAGCAGCCCCAGACGGCGGCCCCCCAGTGATCTCGATTTACATCTTGACACATACACCACAACCCGTGTGATCTGGCACACGTCGGCATTTTATGTATGACTAGTCATCAACTGGATTTGGGGCTCGATTTTTTTTCCTTCTTTTATCGGCGGTGGCGGCATCAAGCTCCCAGTATTGTTTTGTTTTCTGGGTGGGGAGTTGGGGGAGGCACGACGCTACGAACCGGGAAATCATGCCACCATGGCTTTCTTTGACGATGGGCAAATCTGGGTTTCTCTGCACTGCTTCGCATGATCTGGGGCGGCACAGGGGCGGCACCGAACGGAGCAACTACGGGGCGCATGGACATGCACATATTGCTGTTGGCCTGGACAGGGTGGATTCGACTGGTTTACAAGGACATGCACCCATGGATGGCAACAAGGTTTGAGCCACGTTGCCGGGGCTAACCAGCCCGCCGTTGTGGGTGGCAGCCGGCAGGGAGGATGGTCTTGAGACCGGTTTGGGCCTCATGCATGGGACAATCAAGATAAATACAAAAAATATTTTCCGATGGACATTTTGTTTTTCTGAGCTGATGACGTGTCTAACGCTGTCCATTGCTTCTTTCATGCACCTAACTGTGCTAGCCTAATTATCACAGCACTAACTAGTGCCCAAAAAAAAGAAACGAAAAGAAAGGGGCCTGAAAAAAAGGCCTCTCCTTGCACTTGGCGTGTTTTGCATGAGTGCCGAAGGGGCGAGAAGTTCGACGACTGATCTCTGCATCTGTAGCCGTGGCGGTGACAGAAGCAGGCAACAGCAAACTACTCGAGAAAAGAAACACGTCTTGGCTAGGTAGTTTGTTATTTGTGGTGGAGGAACTGAAATAGCAAGCCATGTTTGTTAGATGGATGACCAACCACGGATGACTACTTGGTAGAGGTTCTTTTTTCCAACTCCCATACTCGCTCGCCTGGTGCCGGCCACTAGTCATAAACACCACTACTACATCCCCAGCCCATCCTATCCTATCCGTTCTATTGTTATGGTAGATGTTCAAAATAAGAATTATCTCCCATCCAAGGATCTCCAAGAAAGCAGAATATCAGGATATGCAGTTATGTGTTTGCTTTTGCAACATAACCACAACCACCCCCTACCTGCCCACCCACACACACCCACACAAGCACAAGATCACAGAGTCAAGCATCAAGAATGGGAAGGTGAACTGAACCGAACAGAACCATACCGAGTCAAGAAGCTCCCTCCATACACCAAAATAAAAAACTAACTAAACAACCAGCCAGGGGGGCATATTACTCAGCTCCAGCAAACACTGAAGACAAGCAAGCAACAACAACACTCAACGTTAGGTACTTTCAACTAAAAAGGAGATAGATATCAATGCGCTAGAGCAGGCAGGCAGGCAGGCAAGCAAGCAAGCCGCAAGGGAAAACCCCGTGGGAAAAAAATGTGTGTTTGTCCATCGCCCCCCATGAAGCAAGAAAAAGAGAGACGACCTGGATGAATAAATCCGCTCCCCGCGAAAGTGGTATAAACGAAACAGAAGTTACAAATCCCCCCACACACAAGAGTGAGACACACACATACACCACTACAACAAAGATCCTAACATAATAAAAAAAATAAACCACTCCCACTCCGCTTGCTAAACTTGCTTGCCTCCTAATTTTTTCTTTTAGCTGGCCTAACTTCGTCCCGTAACTACCGAACTGACCTGCTGACCGAACCAAACCGAGCCGAACCGAACCACAACTTTAACTCAGACCCTAGCGCGAGCCGCCAAGGGCCGAGATGCGAGCGCCCGAGGGCCGGTGGATCAGGCTCTCCGCATGCTTACCCACGACTCCCTGTTCCGTCGAGGGCGCGGGGATGGGGTTGCCCTCGTCGGCGTCGCGGGCGACGCGCTCGTCGGCGGTGAGGTCATCGACGTCCTCGTCGTCCTCGAGAATCTTCGTGGGGATGTCGTGGTGTCCGTGTCCGTGCCCGAGGTGGAGGAGGTACTGCTGTGAGGTTCGCTCAGGGGTCGTGGCCGTCGTGCTTGCGAAAGACATGCTAGTGCTGCTACGGTTGGGAATGAGATCCGGTGTGGGTGGGATGCTAGAGATCCGGCCGCTGTTGGGCCGGAGGAGAGTGACGCTGCTGCTATCGTCACCGACATCGGACGTGGCCGTCGAGGTGGATGTGGTGTTACCGTCATCGCTTTGTGCGACTGAGAGAGAACTCCCTCTCCTGCTTTTTGACAAGTCCCGAGCCCTGGAAGCCGACGATTGCGGCCTCCCGAGCTCGGCATCTTGTGCGAGTTGCAGGCCCTCGACTGCGGCCTGGCATTGTTCCGAGATATTGCGGATGATGTGGGCGATGGCGTCCGTCTTGTCCTTTAGGTGACGATCGGCGACATCGATGAACGTCTGGGTGGAGACCCGCCTGCTTGCGAGAGCGAGGTTCTTGATGAAGCGGGCGTCGTTCTCCTCCACACCTTCTCCTATACTGCCGTCAGCCACATTCATAATCAATGTCACGGGGTAGAATGTCCTACGCTCGGCGATGGCGGCAGCCTCGACCTCTTCCTGGGCGGCAAATCCGGCCTCGATCTCTGCGGCGAGCTCGTCTGGAGATGTTAGTGTCTTGACGAGGTGCTCCATGTGATGGTGCTGGCCCGAAATCAAACTGCGCAGATGGAGCACCACGCGGCGGGCTTCGTCGCGTTGGCGGACGATCGTCACGTTGGTATGCTGCAGGGCATTGAGCTCCTTCCTGTTCCTCTTGCGCTCCCTCTCGAGCTCTTCCGCGATCTCCTGCTGAAGAACAAGCGCTTCGAGAGCATCGTCGCGCTGCTTTTCGGTGCCTCCGAGACGGACCGATAGCCTGGCGGAATCGTCCTTCTGCTGGTCGAGGAGGGTGGCCAGACGGCGATTCTCGCGTTTGTGGCCTTCGATCTTGACCTTGAGGTCCTGGGTTTCCTTCGTAAGGGTATCGGCAAAGGCTTGGAACTTGAGGAACTGTGTCTCTGTTAGCGAACCCACCCCCGGCCTCGTTTTCATTTTACACTTACCTGTTGCTTCCAGCTCTCCAGCTCCTCGTTGAGGTAGTTGTTGCGCTTAGTAACCTTGCTGAGCTCTGTGTCCAGCCGGCCCTTGAGGTTGATAAAGTCCTGCCAAGCCTCGAGGGCGTCTCGCGAGTACTGGTTCCGCTCGCGAACAATCTCGTTAAGATGCCTCATCGAGACCTTGGTCATCAGGGGCTTTTTGACAGACCCGCCAAAGACAGCCTTGAGCCCGGTGTTACGGCCCTACAGAACAGTGTTAGCGTCACATCTGACCACTGGCGCCACCGATTACGACTCACCATCTTCTCGCAAACATGGTCCATGACGGACATGACAGCATCCTGGTTCCACCACTCGGGGTCCTGAATAGACTCGACCTCGCCTCGCATGACAATGATCTGGCCGGCAGGCACCAGCTTTCCTCCACCATAAGCCGAGCGAAGGTGCGGGGGCACACCGGATGGCGTGACGTCGCCATTCAAGGCCTGGGTGAGTCTCGCCACGAACTTGTTGCGCTGGCCCAGCTGGAGAGTATTCGGCGGGTTCGAGGTGAGGACGAAGTTGCGGTCGAGGTCGATTACCAGAGCATCGCTGGGCGCCGTAAACAGCGACCTACACTCGGCTGTGATACCCAAAATGTACGGGCCAGGCTCCTCGACGAGGTCCTTAGCGTGACGCGCATGCACCACGGGCACGTAGAGGCCGCTCCACTCGTAGACACGAACGCAAAGCCGGACCGTCTCGGCGGCCATGGTCAGCATCGCGGGGTAGTGGCTGACGAAGATGATGCGGCGGGTGGGGGAGATGGCCGCCTCGATAACGCCAACGATGTTGGGGATGGACAGGCAGCAGAACAACGGCCACATGGCGAAGTTCTGGAAGCCGGTCGACAAGGCTGGGAACTGGTAGCAGAGCGCATAGTCCTTCATATCGATGCGCACCAGATCATTCAGACGCGGCGCGGGGAAGCTCAGGATCCGGGACACTTCCTCGGCGTGGAAAAGGTTAGTAGCCTTGTTCCAGTGAATCCACATGCCGCGAAGATAATCGCCCAAAAGGTTATAAAGCGGGTAGCGCGAAAGGAAGGACAAGCAGTAAGGAATCCAATATTGCTCTTCCTGGTTGTCGTAGAAGTCGGGCTCCGTCCGCTTCCTGAGCTCGCGGATGGTCTCGGCTCGCTTCTCATCGGCGCGCGACCAAACGCGCAGGCAGATACCGTAGAGGGTATGGGACGAGTCTTGCTGGAGAACGAAAGCATGGTGAACGCAGTGTGGCTGGCTGCGTCCGGTGCAGATCTCGACGTCGTGGGGGAAGCATGCCTATGGGTGGTTAGTTAGTCAATGGTTTCTGTGACGTAGGTGGGGAGTTCTTGGGGTAGCCTACCCTCATCGCAGAGTGAAGAGCCCTCGCGATATCATTGTCCTGCTCCAACCTCGGGCTGCTCCCTAGAATCTCGGGAAGCCAGAACTGGGGAACGGCGCCCTTCATGTGCCCAATTTTTCCTTGTACGGGTGTCGGAGCTTTGACCCATTGCGAAGGCTCTCGGCCGACGCCGCAGACCATGTAGGCATGCGTGAGTGTCTTGGGTGTTGCTTGCTGAGACTTCATATTGAGCGTTGAGGGAATTGGCTGTGTAATGCGCGAATGGAGGGATGAGGTCCGGCTGGGAATTATGAGATTGCTGTCGGCCTCGCGGGTCACAGGTCGAGCATCGCGGTCACCGGTCCGGGGGCGAGTAAAAGAAGCGTGGGCGCTCAGTGAAGGCGGCATCTTGGCTTTGTGGGTGCCACCTGACAACCGACGAGCTTGCTGCTGATCGGATGACTCTCGTTAAACGGTTGGAGACCGCTGGTGGCGGCTGGAGGGTCGAGAGCGGCGACTGGTCTGATGTCGGACCCGTTCGTTAAGAGATAGGTCGGCGAGCTGCAGCGATGATCGGCCGCTTCGTCAGGGAAACAGGCACCGGGCGTGTTTCTTTGTTTCAACCCGAGGAAGACGAAAAAAAATGAAGCACGATGACTGCACTATTGTAATTGCAAGCACTGAGGGGCCTGCGAGAACAGAGGGTGCCTCACGATGACCTGAGACAAACCAACGGCACCAGGTGAGAGGGAGAGACCAGGCTCGACAGACTCGCTGTTGATGCTCTCTCGGTGCTACCCACGCGCTGCCGGGTTGTCCCTAGGAGGAAAGGGACGAGCACGGAATTGGGCGAGAGCTTCCGGTCGTTCACAAAAGGCAGATCGAGGAGGAAGAAGGCTTGGATATGAGTGAAGGACCGAGCGCCGTGGAGGGAGGCAGGCCAGAGCAGCGGGAATGCAGGTGGCCCAGGCGTTGGCGGCCAGGACTGAATTTGGGATGTGATGAGAAAGCAAGAGCAAATGAGGGCACTTGAAGTGCGCCGCGCTCAGCGGGATGGATTCGCCAATTCGCTGCAAGGTCCAGAAGCAAAAGGCAGGCTGCAGCTGCAGGTCCATCTGCAGCCAAGCAGTTTTGGGCAATTTGGGCCGGCCACTTGCGAGCTGGGAAATAAGGTGGAGGCGCTAAACCACGCCCAGTCGGTAGGGGTTTCCTCGTCAGGGGCAGCAGCAAGGGGCGAGAACAAGGGGTCCCTCGCGCCAAGACAGTGAGCTCTCTCGGGTACACTGTACCTTGACGTCGGAATAATGGTTGTGGGGGTTCGCTTTGAGCTGAGAAGAAACCGTGGGAATTCCCGCCACAAGTTCGCGAAGTGATCCGAAATTACAAGTCACTGGTACCTGAGTTAAAGCCCCGCGGGCTCCTTCCTCAAACACGCAGCCTGGAAGCTTTCCACCTCCCTTCCACGAACCATTCGGAATTCGTGGGATTGATTCCTGTGGACCACTCAGGGTGCCTGCCCTCCAAACAAAGCTCTGCTCGTGCATTGGATGCAGGATTCACTGGTTATTCCTTTTGACAGGTCTATGATATGTTGTCGCGGGTCACCGCATGCGTGTTTCGCGGGCTGCTCCAGCTATTGGACTGGATGGGGACGGGATAAACAGCACACAAGCAAGTTGGAACCCGGAATTTGCGGTTTTTACAGCGTTACAACGGGATACCTCCCGAATGCGACGGTAGCTCACGAGGTGGGATTGCATTTGGCCGACCACCTCAGGGGCATGGTTGAAAGGCGCGACTTCGTGATGCTGCCCTTGCACAACGCCACGCCTCTGAGAAACAAACGGTCTTTCTCCCGCTCCGTTGAGCCGATCTGTCGGGTCAAGCGAGAGCAGCCCCAAGCTTCGTCCGAGCTTCTCTTTTGTTCACCGTTATTTTGTCTCAGAGGAGACGAGAGCGACGGCTTTCCCATCCTCTCAGGAAACAATCCGAGCAAGCAGCGCACAGGCATTGCGGTGCGGAGTCGCGTTTGACGAGGCCCGGCCACAATGTCCCAAACGGGGATTGGTGAAGAGGGATCGGCACCCAGCAGCAAGGCCCTCGCCCAGCCGGCAGTGTCAAACGGATTTTCTGCACAACATTGGTATTCTTTTCCTTCTTCTCCCCGCTGTGGAAAGGGGAAGAACATGGAAGCCAAAATTCTCAAAACTGATGCGAGATTTCACCAGGCAAGGATCCCCCACCGCTTGTTGAACCCGGTTCAGGGTCCCAGGGGCTCGATCCAGGAACTCAATCCAGCGGAGAGGAGAGAGACGGAATCTATGGGTTGCAGACCTGGATGTACGAGGTTTACTACGCTATATTTGAAGCCCTCGGCCGCATAAACAGAAGGTTCTATCGAAGTGAAACATGTCGCAGGCTATGGCAGTCCATCGCGGGAGATGTGACGGCTGCCGTTTGTTGCAGGCCCCCAAGCTGCCCGCATGGCTCGCATGGGCCCTCTTCTCCCGCTTCTTGCGGAGGAACCGCACTCCGCTGTGGAGACCCTGCCCCGAACTGCACGCGGATTCTTTTCTCTAAATCGATTGGCCAATCGGTCGATTAACACACAGCAAGTTCATGGACTCCAGGATGCCTGTGCAGATGCATGCAATGGCATCCGATCGATGAACTTCTGTTCGCTCAACCACGTGTCACCGCACGCTTGTACCTAACATGCAGTGCATTCTGCGGTCGCAGACCGATTCAAGTCCAGGGACACCTCGACCTCTAGTGTCATGTTGCGCCAACAGCGGCATACACTAGTTATTCGAGGAAAAGGGAAAACAGGCAAAGTGTGTCTCACCCGCTGGACGGGGCCCGGCATAACTCAGGTTAGACGAGCATGCTGTCAACAAGGGGACCGCTGGCGCTGATCAGCAAACAGCAGCCAGCCATGCAAGTCATCAACACATCACAAGCCTGATCAAGATGGAGCCTTTGCATTTGTGTTGCAACAGATCATGCTTTCCATTTAGCAAGGCAAGAGACAACGATTGGGCTTGAACTCTCTGGTGAATCACTCGAGGTTGAGCTCGGAAACCCATCATCTCATGGTTTCGACCGGCAAGGGAGAGCCTCTTTTGGGTCAGGAGCGGTCGCTAACAGCAAGTTCACTTAACCAACCATGGACAGGGAAGCTGGGATCCCCAGCGTGCTCACGCGCCCATGAATAATTATCGTGCTTATGAATGCTGGCGTTGTGCTTGTGAGCAGCTTCCAATGCTGTTACGGCACACGAGAGGGTCAAGAATGCCACTCAGCATCGTCTCGTCGTTGAGTGGGATCGTTAATGAGCGAGAATATGTGGTCACGTGACATCGCACCACTCACGCGCCTCGATTACGCCCCTCTCTATCGTTGCGCGCGCCCTTGTTCTGACATTAACCGCGTGTGATAATGAATTTTTGCCCCCGCGACACAACCATACCCCATTGTGTCTCCTCGACAACCCACCGCGACATCATTCGCAACCGTATCTCTACCTATCACCATACTTGACCTCCAAATCCAAGACATCCTCAAGTCGCAACATCACGAAAGTCATCCCAAAGAACAACGAGACCATGACAACCACCACAGTAACCAAACGCACCACAACCAAAATAACCACCGCCACCACCAAACCCTCCCAACCCTCCAGAACCATGAACCCCACCAAATCCCAACTCCCCCTTCCCACCTCCCCTCCTCTCCTCAGCGCGGGGCACCCCCTTCGAGCGGGCCGTATGGCAGCTCACCTACCAGATCCCCGCGGGCTCCTTCAGCACGTACGCGCTGCTGGCAGCCCATCTCAAATCCTCGCCGCGCGCCGTCGGGCAACGCCCTGCGGCGCAACCCCTTTGCGCCCGAGATCCCCTGGTATGTGGTATCCCATTCCCGTCCCTCACCCCAACACAGAAGAACGCATCACTAACCCAACCCCTTCCTCGTACAATAAAGCCACCGCGTCATCGCCACGGGCGGCACACTAGGCGGGTTCAAGGGCAAGATTGGGCGGCGCGACGGCGAGGGCATCACGCTGGCCGAGAAGCGGATGCTGCTCCGGCGGGAGGGCGTCAAGTTGGAGGGGGACGGGGAGAAGCTGAGGGTGTTGGGGACTGCGTTTAGGGGGTTCGTCTGACTCTTTTTGTTTTTGTTTGTTTCTCTTGGGGGGTTGGCTGGTTTGTGTGTTCCTCCTGTGTGTGCGTGGGGTATGGATGTACTTGCGATTTCGCTTATGGTTGGTGGAGGGATGGGAATAGGCGTAGGGTTTGACTGATTTGAGAGTTGGATGGTGTTGCTTTGGCTTGAACGTGGCTAATTTACCTTGCTTATAGCATCGGTTAGGAAGAAATGAAAAAAACAGTCGTGAGGGTCATCTTGGATGTTATGATCCAAGGGCAAAAGGGGACACCGTCACTCCACCATCGCAAAACCCAAAGTGAGCCACGACATTGTCAATTGGCTCCCTATGATACACCCCATATCCCCGGTTGACCCGCGCATCAGACCTCCTCGCCAAACCGCCCTTGCATCCCGAACGCCAGCAAATCTCGTCTCGTTTTGTCTCGGTTGATTCCCAAGTCATATGCCCCCCTCCCTTTATGCTCCGGGACAGCCGCCGCCCTCAGAACAGGCAAGACCGAGCCCATGGTTCCCCTAATGTTACATACAATGGTAGCTTTCCGCCACCTCCATGTGGCCCAAAAGCAACGAAAATTTCATGTGATAAAAAAGCATATGCGCTTTTAGAACGCCAGTGATGAGTGCAATGACGAAACCCGCCGACAAACCAGATGCTAGACAAGATCAAGCGAGAAATTTCCTTCTGCGTGCGCGCAGATCACTCCGAAAACGGCGGATAAGTACCTGGATTACTAGGCCTCGATACTACCACCACGGCGAGCGCGCTGGGGCATGCCACCGCGCGGGCCACCACGACCGCGGCCACGACCCTCGCCACGGTAGCCCCCGCGGCCACGGCCCTCACCACGGTAACCGCCGCGGCCGCGGTGATTGCCGCCGCCCTCGCGCTGGCCGCGGTTGCGACCCGGCACGGACTGGAAACCGTCGTCCGCCGGAGTGGCGGGAGCGGCTTCGGTCTCCGGGTGATCATCAGCCCAGGACTGAGAGGGCGCGGCAGATGTAGCGGCAGGGCCGGTCTCCGTCTCGCTGGCCTCGCGCGAGATCTTCACGTCCACCCACTCCTGAGAGGTGGACAACTCGTTGCCCGTATCCCACTGGCTCTCCCCGGCCGCATTTGCTGCCTCGTCGGCAACCTCGGCGTTGCTAGGGGGGGCGCTGGGCGCAGCGCTGCTCGAGGATGCGTCTGCCGCATGGCCGTTGGTCAGCGCGGTGGCAGAACCTTCGTCAACTTCGGTTAGGCCCGCATTAGCGACGGTCGGGTCGGTTTCGGGTTCCTGCTTGGACTCGACCGCCGCCTCGGGGTCGGCTGACTGCTGGGCAGTCTCGCTCTGTGTGTACGGAGCGGCGAGGGCAATCGCAGCCTTCTTGACCTGGGCGACTAGGAAAGTCAGTGACTCGTTGCGGCAAGAGCAATACCAGATCTGAATCTACTTACAGGTCGTCTGCAGCGCATCGCCGGACGTGCTCCGCGTCTGCTCGTCTGCGCCCTGCACCAGCTTCAGCATGGTGGCGACGGCATTCTCGTCGCCTGAGTAGATGTGCAGCAGGACACCCTCGAGCGCCATGCTCTCGTCGGACGTGCTGTCGGCATCCTCCGTACGGCGGGCCGCAGCGAGGCGGAGGAACTGAGAGAGCGTAAGAAGGTTGGCACGAAGAGTCGCGTTGGCATCCGCCTCCGCCTTCGCTGTGAGCTCAGCAATAGTGTCCGCCTTCGTCTTCTCAAACTTTTCCGTCAAGGCCTTTTCTTGTTCCGCGAGACGAGCCCGGTGTTCCTGGTCGATCTTCTTGTGTTGCGCAAGCTGTTCCTCGAACTGGAACAGCTGGGCCTGGAGGGTAGGCTTCTTGAGGTGGGCAGCCTTCTGGTCGGCGTTTATGATCTTTAAGGTGATAAGCTCGTCGAGCGATTTGTTGCTGTGCTCAGCGATAATGGCATCAACTTTCGCGGTGTTGGTCTGAACGGTGATGTTGTCAGTGATGATCGGTGCCGACAACCCAACCACGCCCAACTTACGATTTTCTTCGTAACATTCCGAATAGACCTTGAAAATCGGTTAGCCACATAAATACACACTGGCCATACATAACTGGCTTACTTCTGCAGGTCGCGAATATAGGCGTTGTCCGAATCATTTTGGGCCTCGCTGGCGGCGATGGAGCCGGCGACCTCGGGGGTTGAGACAACAGGTGCGGGGGACTCGGTGCGCTCCGCCTTTGCCTTCTTCTTCCGGGCCGACTTGGACTCAGTCGGAGCCGGGGGGTTCTGAATATCGGAAGCCGCCATGTTTTTGTTTTGTAGAAAAAGTTGAGCGCAAAGTGTTTTACGCTCTAAAACCGAGGGTTTGGATCGTTGTTCTGTTCGAGTGATCGACCGGATTTCTTTGGCTCGCTCGAGACGACGGGGTTCCGAGATCAGGTGCACAGAGAACACTGATAACAAAATCTAATTGTCAGGATTAAGGGTAGAATTGGATCAGTCGACGGTGGAAAGATGGAAATTCTGTCGGTTGAGAGTGTAGATGCGAAGGAGTTGGTTGGGAAATTTTTGGGGTGCCTGAAGATGCTTCCTCCCACCACACCAGCGGCCTAAACGCGGTGCCACCGAGAAGCAAGCTTGCCCCACAGCGATTGGCCACAATTTCAGGTAACAGTGTGTGAACCTGAGCTCAGCTAGAACGGAACAGAAACAGCCGGAACAAAACACTGGCAGTGTACGGAATTTTCTCTAGATAATTTACAAAGACATCTGGTATGGGAACAGAGGGCCGAGCCTCGTCTGTTATTCGTTTGCCGCCACAAGATTCTAAAATAGCATCCACGGATTGTTTCCCGTTTGCATCATCACGGCCATCGAGGTCGCCTCTCGCACACCTGAATCTTGGTGGTGTCGCGTGCCCCCGCTAAACTCGATCGGTCCCCACATTCATCGGGGAGCTGCGGGGCCGAATGCCTGCCCTGCCGCACCAGCTTCCATCATCCAAACAAACCCCACCCCAGTTAGTGAACTGGCTTGTATATGCGGCCAGTGCCCGTTATTATCTTGCGTTTTTAACTTCATATCCATATTCCAGCCATTTCATCCCCTAAACTTGGCAAGCGAGTCCTGAACCATGGAGCGTGTGAGTTGTGCTTGTGCCAATGGACACTGCGCTGAAATCAGAGCAAGTCTTTGCTTACCACTGTGGCCTTCTTCACGCTCCGGGCCGTGATGCCTCGCTCTCCGCCTTGCTTGGCTTCAATCGCGGCCTCTTTCATGAGTCTAGAACGTTGTCAGCCGGCAGGACATCGGTCGCACATATATCGATATGCTCCTACGTTTGCATAAAGAGCATATAATCCAGAAACATCTGGTTCCTTTGCGTTAGAAGCTCTGCTGACGCGTTTGAGGTTGGGGTTAGAGGTACCATGACATCAGCATTCTTGCTCACGTTGCAATTCGAGTGAGCTTTCACAATCTTCTTCACCGTCGCCCGAGGGTATAATTTCTGACCGGCCATCTTGCCTGTTCTAGAATATGAGAGACGGCTTGATGTGCAGCGAAGAAACAAGAACTCGAATGGGTGGGTATCGGAGTCGTTCCCTGAGAGTCTGCCGTTTGTTGACTTGGGGAGCTTGTCGAAGCAACGCCCAATCGGAGGCTGGCCAAAACTCGCGTTGGGATGGTCTGTGCACCCAGTAATGCAAAAGGGTTAGGGTTGATATTCGATTGCCAGAGCTTCGAAATGCCCCGCCAAAGTTTGGTGGAGCTTCAACCCCAAATGCCCGCCTAAACCCCAAGCAAGTTCAGCGCCCGTTGAAGAGACAATCACATCTCGGTTTCTCCTAGCTTTACATAAATTAAGACAAGATGATGAGCCGGCGGATGGTAAGATCAAGCCTCTATCCAAACGACCAGAACCACCGCTGACAGCGTGCTGCGCAGTTAACGAAGGAGGAGGAGGATGCCATGGGCGACGAGGTTGAGGTTCGCCGAGAGGACCAAGACAAGATCAACAAGTTTAGCCGCCTCCACCAGCACGAGCTCTCAATAGAAGAGGAGTTGAAGACGAAGAATGTGGGCACACGTGGAAAAGTCCAGCCCAGGTAGAGCACGGCTAACTTCCGACACAGAAGGAGAAGGAGGAGCTGGACGATATCACGAGTGAGCTGGAGCTTGCCGATGAGGACGATAACGTGCCGTGAGTTTTACCGAAATGGACAACTACAAAGCAGAACTTGGGCTGAACCGCTGGCAGATACAAAATCGGGGACGCATTCTTCCACCTCCCTCTCCCGCAAGCTCAGGAAATGCTCGAACACTCAACAGCGAGGTTGGACGAAGAGATTGGGGAACTCGAGGAGAAAATGGGCACTATCCGGGAAGAAATGACGCAGCTAAAGGTAGAACTGTACGCAAGGTTCGGGAAGACTATCAATCTCGAGACATGATTAATGACAGAAATCGGCTTTTGAGATTTTGATTGCCCTTGGGATCTGAGTCGCGGGGCTTAGGCAGGGAACGGAGGTCATACTTGCCATAGTGAATCATCTTGAAGCTCGGGGGGTACGGCTTTGCCGTCCGGCCCGGATAACATGCATCGTCTGTTCCCAGGCAAGTTCATCTAGGTAGTCATGGCCCGGGTTTGCGTCAAGCCAGGCATAATACTTCTTGAGTTCTTGTAATCCGATGTGGCCATGTGTCTCGCGGAGGGCGTTTTCTATCCCGCTCTTGCACGCATTGTTCGCAGTCGTGGCTGAACCTAACGGGTTGTATTGATCTAAATCTGTAGGAACCCGTTACGGCTAGCATCTCTTGAACTCCCCACCGTTCCCTCTCTTTGGGAATTGACACCAAGTCCCGCGCACACCCGGATGATTGTCAATTTCTCGCAGAGGGTTCCCTCCTTCCAAACTGACAGGGCATGCAGGATTTGGTCCGCCTCGGCCTCTTTTTGCCGGGTTAGCTTTTCACGTCCACGGGGACGCTTCAGCCGCCAAGAAGAGAGGGAAACGCACCGTTGAGGTCTTCAATCTTTTGGGACGCGTTGACCAAAAGGGTTTGGTCAAGCCACCAGAAGATCGGGGTGAGTTCGTGGGTGGGCCACTGGGGCAGCCCGCACATCCATTTCCGCACGTCGAGGTTGATCCTCCTAAGCGAGGCGCGACCTGTTAGCGGAGGAAAGGGGTTAGGGGGTTTCGGGATGGGCGCACATAATCCTTTTCCGGCGGGCGATCTCTTGCCGCGCTGCGTATCTGTTGGTATCCATGACGGTGAGCCCGCGACGAGTGTTGTGGTCGTGTGAAGGGAGGCTGGCAGTCTGGAGGACGGCGTCGCCCAAGAAAGACGGGACTGCGAAAGAAGGCCGGTTCGGGGGAGACTGAGTGATGGAAGAGATGATGGACCGAGGCGAGACAGCATACCTAGGGGGGCTTTTATGCCCCCAAACGTCCAATGTTCACCCCAATGTTCAGATGTTCTTCCGACGGTGACTTCATACTTTTGGTTTGCCACTCAGATCTCTCGTGATATGGCATGGAGTTGGACGAATGGACCTCTCCGTGTTGGTGAGATGTCCACTACTGGCTGCTTGGGTACTGACGAGGTCATCTGACAATTTTACGCTATCTCTCAGACGACTGTCACTCGAGTAAGGGAGGTTAGCCGACTGCTCTGACATGGAGACTGGAAATAAACTATATCCGAAAGTTTCTCATAGCTATGATGTGATGGAAAACGTTCCATAGACAAGACTGTACCATCATCAGATGATACACAGACCTATCTTGCGCGCTTTCGTCTCCAACGGTCCCCGATCATCAGCCCCAAGAGGAAGCGGTCTCCCTCTCCCTGAATAATATCTAACCTCTAGCTCTTCCCCAAAGCCAACAACCTCATCCCCCCAAAACCACATCCAAAGCCAGACGACGAAAAGGGGTCGTTGCCGTAGCAACAGCATCATCACCCCAGGGTTAGGGTCAAAATCCTCCACCCTGCAGATCGGCGGCCCCACCATCCCATCCCGCAGCATCATCACCAGGTCGAGAACTCACCCACTCGCTAACGTATAAATCATCAACGTCACGTCACGCCACGGTGTCTCACTTGAATTAAGACGACCGCCCCCCCAATCTCTCAAAACCACTCAGGCAATTTTCGACGATCACATCCTTGCACAACATGGCCTCGCAACAGCAACGCTCGGCCTCGGTGGCCGGCACCCGAGAAAAGACCTACTTTGAGCAGCAGAGAGAGGAGTTGATCGGGGAAATCGCCATGGTGAGTGAGCAGCTAGCCCAGCCAGCCAGGCAATGCAGCATAAAACAAAAGAGCCTGGAAAATGAAGAAGGACGTACTAGTTCCGAGTGCAGTCAGTCACTGACGCGGTGTGTGTGGGGCCCAACGAGCAGAGTTTCGAGCATGTCCTCGCCAACATCAACAAGCTGAACCGGTCTCTCGAGGCCGTCATCGCTGTGAGTTGAGACGGATGTGGGGTGAGACTTTCCGTGATGGCATGATGGTTGTCTGACTGGGTGGGTGTGACGCTAGGTGGGCAACGAGTTCTCCTCGGTCGAGGCGCTGTGGTCGCAGTTCGAGAACGTCATGGCCAAGGAAGAACCTGAGGAGGGCGGCGCCGCAAAGTCGGAGGATCGGCAAGAGGGCCAGGAAGAAGCGGATCGCGTGAAGGTCGAGGGAAGCGAGTGAGCTGAGAGGCGGGGTGTCGGATTGGTCTGTATTTGTGATGGGACGACGAGAGTGAAGCCATCCTGGGCAGAGACGGAGATTCTTAGTTAGTGATACCCAATACATTCACTTAATTGCTTAGGCGAGACATGCTTGTCAATTCACAGTGCATAAAGACAGGATGTGGATGTTTGGTTCTTATATTCCATAGCCCTACCCCTAATCAACAAACAAGAAGACGGGAAATCCTTTGCCGCGCCAACACAATGCTCTCCTATCCCGACCCTGTACTCCATCCTCAAGAGTGCGAGTACAGTCGGGCTCAAAGAAGCTTCGCCTGCAAAGAGGTCAGCAAGCTCCCATTCCCGTCCGTTCACCCATCCATCCGTCCATTCCTCATGGGTATCGATCCCTTCTAAAACCCTATAACAGTTTCACGAAGAGAAGGTATACTCCAGTAATACATCAGTTTCCAGTATCCATAGCCAACCCGTCGACATCATCCATCATCCTCCTTCCACCGCCCCGCCCCGCTCTCGAAGAAGAAAAAGATGACAGCAGTAAACAGAGAGTAATAAAAAGAAATCCCGAAAGTCAGTCGCTTGCTTGCATGCCTTGCCGTTGCCATCGGTAAGGGTGTGACAGAAAGGGAAAAAAAAAGGGAAAACAAGGTGCCGGAAAAATGAGGAATCAGAAAAGAAATCAACAGCAGCGCATGTCGTGTCGGCATCATGCATGCAGTTAGTAAAGGTCGTCAGCGCTCCTCGCCCCCTGGAGCCATCTCTACCTGCTTCCTCCCCTCCCCGGGCGCCTCCACCTCCTTACACCAGCGCGCACTTTCTCTTCTTCTTCTTAACAACAGGAATCTGCACGCCGTCGCTTCCAAATGTTATCCCGCCGCCACTGCTTCCATGTCCGTTCTTACTCCCGCCACTAAGCCCATTGAGATTCGTACTGCCTCTTCTCCCAATTCCGATTCCACTACCCGTGGGGGACATGGGCCCAGCGGCAGCAGCCTCGGCTTCGAGCACCTTGCGGTCGTTGGCTACGACTGTCAAAATGGCGCGCTCAAAGATCTCCTCGACACCCTTCATCTCTTTGCTGCTACACTCCATGTACTGAGCGCCCATCTTCTTGGCGACCGCAAGTCCCTGGTCCGCCGTCACCGGCGTAAGACCCTGCGTCTTGAGCATGTCGATGCAGGTCTTCTTGTGACGTAGGTCGGATTTGAGCCCGACAAGAATCAGAGGGGTATAGGGGCAAAAGTGCAGAACTTCGGGGTACCACTGGTAAAAAAAAAAGGAAGGTTAGTTCTCAATGTCGGGGCGTGGTTGAATCAAGCTCAAGACGTACCTTGTCCATTACGTTCTCCAACGAGTTCGGGCAGTCAATGGCGAAGCACACAAAAATGAGGTCGGTTTCGGGGTAAGAGAGCGGGCGTAGTCGGTCGTACTCCTCTTGTCCGGCGGTATCCCAGAGCGCAAGTTCTACGGTCTTGCCGGTGGGAGGGTGTGTTGGGTAGGTGATGTAGTTTTCGAAGACCGTGGGTACGTATTTCTGTCAAGGTGAGTCAGTATTTTGAAAAGCCTACTATGTAAGGTTTGAGCAAAATAAAGGTAGACTCGGTGTGTGTGTGCTACCGATTACTGCGTATACGCACCTCTGGGAAGTATCCTTGGCTGTAGCTGATAAGCAAACAAGTCTTGCCGCAGCCGCCGTCGCCGACCACGACGATCTTCTTAGAGTACGCTGGCCCCTCGGTCATTGCAGTGCCCGAGGATTCCCGACCGGTCGAGGTGCTCATCATTGTGCTAACGGTCCCGTCACTTGACCTGGTGCCGCGTGTGTCCCGCCGTTGCGAGTCAGGCCTCCGCGAGGCGTTGCTGTCTGCTCTCTCGTGTATGTAGGTTGAGTTGCGGTATTGGTAAGACGCCATGGTTTGGGCGGCAGTTGGTTGTGTCGGATTGTTTTAGCCGTGGATTGTTGGGACAAGCCACTGATGCTAGAGGCGCTAATTGCCTGCTTTGTTGAGCAAAAGAAAGCTCAAAAGGAAATGCACCTAATTGCAATGCAAAAAATGCTGGTTTCGTCTGCCCCGCCCCGCCCGGATGAGGTGTCGGTTTTCTGAAATATCGAATCAATCCCGAGTGTGATGATGCGAAGATGATGCAGGTTGTTGACTCGAGGGTTTTTTTTCTGCGGGTGATGCGTTGGTCAACAAGGGATCGCCGATGTGGGCGACAAGAGGGCGGAAGCTGCGACCTGCGGGAAGTAAACGGTTGGCCGAGCAACCATTCATTGGGGCCTTCCTTGCGGTCGGTTTGATGACACAACCGCGGGGCTAAAATTGGCTGGGGTCCCACCGCAGCTTAGGCCAGAAACTGAAAGCAAGTGCATACCGCTCCTGCACTATGCCAGTTTCTGATGCTCTGGCTTCCCTCTAGGTAGCCATTTCTTTTTCCACCATTACCTTAGGTATGTGAGTGTGTTTCTGTTTCCCATGGCTGTGATGTTGGGCTTTCATTTTCTGGGCTTCCTTTTTCTCTGGGCAGGCAATCAGGCAATCACCGACAAGCGCCAGCCCTACGACGCCAGGTCACTGCCACAATCTCTCCAAACCCCGCTGTGGAGTTTTTTTCAGCTGCCTTGTTTGCAGTGGCTAGTGCGTTTTTGGGCCTTGCTCACTCGGCAGGCAGTTAAATTGGGGCCATCATTTCCGCTTCCTTTTCCAACCCAAGTTCTTTCAACGTGTTTGGCGCGTTTGCGAGGTCCAAGGAAAACGTCCTCCCACCACCAAATCCAAGAATCCAAAACTTGCGGCGAGCTCCGTCCTCACATGACGAAAGCTTGAACCTGCAGCTAATACGAGTCAACCAGGGTTGTGTTGGGCTCTTCGTTCGCGGCCAGGACGATTTGCAGAATTTTCAAGTGAAGTTTCTTCCATCACCCCGCGTTCCCCCAGGACGAACCGCGTGATGTCGGACAGCAAGTACATCACGCTCGTCTCGGGCGATGGTTTTGAGTTTGTCGTCCTCCGCGAGGCAGCTCTCGTCAGCCCGACCATCAAAGGCATGCTACGGGGCCCCTTCATCGAGGCGCAAACCAGTCGTTGCACCTTTCCCGAGTTCAGGTAGGTCACATTCTCTGTCTATCGCCTTTCCCCTTCACCTGTCACTGCAATGATGACAACGGCACTGCTGTGTTCTCGCCGATAGACCGCTTGGCCTGGCAATGATAAACTCATCGACAGGACGAGCCCGGACTGCATGGGCGTCATCTACACTTGATCTGACCGCACAGCTTCGCTCCCGCCATCCCGTCGCTCCCGGAGGTCACCGAGGGCAACTGCTAACCGAATCTCAGCGCCATTGTGCTCGAAAAAGTGGTAGACTACTTCCACTATTGGCACCGCAACCAAGACAAAGAGGACGTGCCCGACATGGAAATTCCCGTCGAGATGTGCCTGGAGCTGCTGATGGCGGCCAACTATTTCAACCTTGACGCCAGGCCGACACCGAGAGAGTAAAATGGGTAGCACCTAAGCCCAATTCTCTGTTTCTGGTCTGAGCACAAACCTGTCTTTTCGTCAATGGCGTTGGTATGGTACGGTGCCTATGGTTCGGCGTTCCGGAAAACAGGCATCATAATGGCATAGCACGGCACCAAGGTAGTCGGTCATTTGAGGTTGAGGGTAGCCAATTCCCTTGATTGAACAAAACGCTGTTAGCGTTCCATAGCGCCTTGTGTGTGCTGCAGCATCGCGTCGTCTTTCGTGCTTGCAACACCATCTTAGCATATGCGTCTGGCCTCTGTCTCTCCCGTGGGCCCGACGTCTAAAATAGATGGAAGATGGACACCGTCCTCAACGATCTGCTTGGCTCATACCATCCGTGGGGCTCATGCTTTATTAGAGAGGATATATCACAGCAGAGAAAACAAAACAAATTCATTCCATTGTCTCAGCCATGCCTTGTCAGCCTAAATCAATCCCCTGTTTTGCCTTGCAAACTGTGACTCAAAACAAATAACGATTGCCCCCCGTTGCACCCCCTTCGGTGATAGACAATACATGATAATAATCACATAAGATATCTATCACCTCTCCGCGACTCTCCCACCCCATCTCTCCCACGCAACACACACGCCCGACCACCCCTCCCCCCTCTACCCCCTCTACCACCCCCCCTCCTACCATACCCACCGCGTCCTCCCCGCCCACGGCCGCTACCAAACTCCGCCGGCGGCGGGCCCATCTCGCGCCTGATCTTCCTCTCCGTCTCGCTCGCATCCCAGTAGTTGGTCACATCCAGCAGCTCGCAGAAGGCGACCGTCTGCGGGCTGGTCCACTCGAGCGGCTGCTCATCGACCACCTCCGGGTCGACGCCGGGGCGGTGGGCCGGGGCGGTGACGGCAAAGTTGTCGGGCACGTCCAGGCGGCCCGGCGCCACGATGTGCTCGTCCACCCAGGCGCGCTGCTCCTCGATGATGGCGCGGTAGTGGGCCTCGCCCTCGTCCGGCGGGGTGGTGGCCGTGCGGTCGCCGATCTTGATCAGCGGGTGGAAGGTGCGCAGGATGGAGAGCCATTCCGGGTCGTATTGGAGGCGCAGCTTGGTCCCGGCCGCTGGGCGCGGGGTGTCGGTGGGGATTTCCATGAGTTGGAGGAATTTGCGCCCGGGCAGGCATTTGTCGAGAGCGAGGAAGCGGGTGGTGGTGTTGGTGATGCTTTCGGGCACGGGTTGGCCTGGGGTGGGGCGCGCGGCGGAGATGCGCGCGGGTTTGGCGAAGGCCGCGGGGAGTTGCGAGCGGAGAGCTTCGGTTTCGTCGGTGGGTTCTTCGGCGGCGTCTTCAGTGGCGGGCTCGTTGGCCGTGTCTCCCGCGGTGGCACCAGTGGTGTCCTCGGCAGCGTCCCCGGTGGTGTCCCCCGTCGCGGGTTGTGGTTTCGATTCATCCTGGGATTTGGCAACCTTTGCTGCCGCTGCTGTTATCCCAGGGAAGTCGTCGCCGTAGTCCAAGTCGAGGTCGATTTCGTCGGGGTTGGCATCTAGAATCGGCCTCGGCGGTGCTGCTTGGGGCTCTTCCTCATACTCCTGCTGCTGCCCTGGCGGGTCGAATTGCTTGATAGCCGCAAATTTGCAATGCAGATGCGCCGAGAACCAGAAGTGCGGACGCAACCTGTCCAGGACATACTCGGCAGCTGGATTTCCCAAGGAGCCATCACGCGACTCGCGCTCAAAGTCGGGCTTCATCTGGAACAGGCGCTTCTGGTTGCCGTGCTTCTCGATTGCCCGTGGCCAGTCGTGGCTAATGCCGATATCCACTTGGGTGCGCAGCTGCAGCAGCTTGCGCACGTCGATTTCGCGCACGTGGTAGAAGCTCTTGACATCGTCGGAGTTGAAGGGTAGCCGCTCGTGATGTTGCTTTCTGTAGTCGAAGCCCTTCCAGATGCCGCTCATGCCGGCGATACGGAGCGGGCCCAGGCGGAGCACGTTGGCCGCGCCCATGTAGTAGATGTTGGGGGCTACCCAGCCGCCGTAGTAGAGCTCCCAAAGATGGGATGACGCCTCGTGGTTGCCGGCCACAAAGATGGTCAAGTAGGGAGCCTTGCGAGAGCCGCTATAATACTCGTGGAAGTCGGCGAGTTCACGGTACTTTGCGGGCACCGACATGGCGTTGAGGTCGGCGGCATTGCGGACAGCCTGGAAGTCGCCACCGATGATGAGCAGGTCGACGCCATCCCATTCGCGCTCCTTGCATGACCTGTCGACAGCGTCGTAAATGGCATTCAGAGTGCCGTGTCCCTGGGTGCAGTTAGCAAACAGTCACAAATTACTGCCAGGAGGAGAATGCATACACAGCCCTCAACCGCGATGCGGACGCCGTTGGTCTCAAGCGTACCGCTTGACATGTTGAGCCGGGAGTGAGACTTTGGGCTTTTCTTTCTGGAATAATAGATCTGAGATGTGACAAAAGTTCTCACGAAGATGCGATGGTGATGAATGCAAAAGTTGGTTGGGGCTGGTGGTCGTTTGAAGAAACCGAGTCTTCGAAATCTTGATGCTGTGATTGGAGCAGACATCATCTGCAACCTCCTTTCACCAAACAACCCATCAACAGACTTTCTTTTGTTCTTTCACACCGACCACAAAGGACATTCGGTCCCGCCAATTGGTCGCAGGCCGTGTCCGGTTTCGTGCTGAAGTTTGCACCGGCCTCGCAGTCAATGCCAAACTCCAAGCCAAGTGCGCCACCTGCAATGAGTGCCTACCGCTTGCGGTCAATTACGGGGCTTCCCTAAATCTTCCGAACCTGCTTCAGCTGCTTTCTACTTCAGCACTGACACGGCTCAACCCGGAAGCCTGCAACCAATTTAAAGCGAATGTTTGCGTCGCCGAGTATAAAGAAAAGCATCATGGCCGCCGTCCGGAAAAGGCCTTTTTTTTTTCTGTCCCTGAGGTTGCCAAAGACACATCTCTCGGCGACAATCCCTCCTCCACCAACAGATTAAACATTGACCTTTAAACCTTTGACTAGGTAACTAACCTCACACCACTCGTAAAGCACATCTGCATCAATGAATCCGTTTAAAACATCCCTCTTCGACAACTTCACCTTCAAATGGCTGCGCTGGCGTGCGCCAACCGGCCCCCTCCAACCCCTCCCCGACGGCGTCGACCGACTGTTCGTTGAAACCCCCGGCGGCAACATCGAAGTGCTCTATGCGCGCCCAACCGCGCCGCTCCCCGATGCCGACGCCCCGTCCCTCTTCTTTGTGCACGGCGGCATGGGCGGCGCCTGGGTCTGGCTGGAGTACCTGCAGTTCTTCGCCGCCCGCGGCATCCCCTGCTACGCCGTCTCCCTGCGCGGCCACGGCGGCAGCTACTACCCGTCGTACCTGCGCATGGTGTACGCGACGACCAAGAGGATGCTGGCGGACGACGTGCTGGCCGCGCTGCGCTGGGTCCAGGCGCGCGAGGGCGGCAGGGAGGTTGTGCTCGTTGGCCACTCGAGCGGCGGCGGGTTGGCCCAGTTTGTCTTGTCGGAGAAGGAGGCGAGGGTGAAGGCGCTCGTCCTGCTGGCGTCGGTCCCTGGGTCTGGATCGTAAGTTTGCTTTGGGGGGACTTTCCAAGGAATGCCTGCTGACGCCCAGTGATAGCGATGATGTCTACCTGAATTGGATGAATCTAGATCCGTGGTTTCTCCCGAGGATGATATTGCACCTCTGGCACCCTAACTCGCCACTGTCCCACCCGGCATTGACGCGGAGAGCATTCTTTAGCAACGAGCAAACTGACGCCTACATTGAGGCGTTCCAGGACAAGGTTTGCCCTTACGAAAGTATTGTTTGGGCATTGGGGATGACGAAGCCCTTCGTAAACCAGCAGAATGTGCTCTCACAGATCACCGACTGGGACAGCGGCCAGAGAGTTATGATTATGAGTGGCGAGTTGGACAGGATAATGACGTTTTTCGTCATGCGCGACCTCGTGAAAACGTATCGTGCGACCTTCAGGAGCATGATACGGCAGAAACAGCGGCAGTGCGAGGATACCGAGATCGTTCCCGTTGTTTGGGAAGAAGACAAAGATAACAGCGGCCATGGTGTCAGGTATTGCGACGTCCCGATGGTCGGACATCATATGCAAAATGATGTGGACTGGGAGGTGGGCGCTGGGAAGTTGTTGGCTTTCTATGAGCAGCTATGATGACTGACGATGTGAGGTGTTGGAGGAGACATCTTCGCTTTGGACAGGTTGGCGTTTGGATCGATACGAGGGCTTCAATGAACGAATAAGCATGCAGAAATGCAACAATCAGTTATACGTCTCGTATGTGTTCATCACAGGGCTCTACCATATCAAAGCAGAACAAGTCACTGCCGCTCATCCTTCACCGATGTGCCGACGCCGCTGAGTGTTGAGACCACTGGACTAGGTTGGTGCAGCATGTCAAGGTCCTGGGATATAAAAGCAAGATTACTGTGCCATCCAGCAATTCTAATAATCACTACCGATCCTGAATCCGTTGCGTCTTGCTTAGCACTGAAACTCTTGACCTCCGCAGACTATACGAGTTCCGGAATCCGGTTGGCCCAGGCTATTCATAACGAGCAGGACAGGCCCTGGCTGAAGCAGGTCTGGCGGTTTTGAAACGAGATAAAGCTCAAGTGCATCACCTGATAATGTTCTATTTATCTATTACCTCACCCGTATCTCACCCGTATCTCGCGTCGTCGGCCTGGCATTGAGTCGTCGCCATGCGAACAGGATCATAACCGCCCCCCGCCTTGAAGACTTGGTTGTTAACCAAACCGAGGCCGAGAGAGTGATGAGCTTCTAATCTCGTCCCTGGCCATACAAGCCCGAGCGAGCATGCATCCATGGGCATAGTCACCGGGCCGCGACTTTTCTTTGAGCAGGCCATCAATGTTAGCGAGCACATTTTGTCCCCTGAGTCTTAGAATCTTGTTTTGGATCCCAGACGAAGAGGATCCTGTTTTGGGATTATACGATTTCCGTTTGGGAAGTGACAATTGCTTCGTTATCTCGGCCCTTCTTGAGTTCCCTCGCATATTTACGCGTTTATCCACCCCGGCGTTGGACAGGTACGCCCCCGCTCGATGCTACTCCTCCATTAAGATAGTTCTGCGGTTTCTCGACAGTGACTATGAAGGAATGGCCCGGGTCTTGGTACTCCGTGGTCAGGTGGCCCCTATAAGGATCACCGTATTATTGCATGAGGAGATGTACCAAGGAATAGTAGCACGAAGCGTTCAGTAACTATCATGGGATGCTTGAATGGTAAGTAGTAGGATGCGCTCCAACCACACGGAGCTATCCCCAACATCTGGGACTGGTGCACTGAACTAACGGGCTACATGGACGCTCTGCTCAGAACAACATGACAGTCTGAAGGCAAACAAACCACATATCACTTGACTGAGTCGACAGATTTGAGAGTTGTTGGCCTTGCGCATGCCAAACCAGACCCTGGCAACAAGACAAACAGCGGCACTGGGGAGCCTCGGTATTTCTTGAGCCTCTCACTCCCATGGCAATCCCCCCTTCTGCTCAATACCACGCCGTTTGAGCCGAGAACGGCGGTGGATGTACCCCCGGAGGATGCTGTACCCAGAAGTCTAATGGTTAGCCGCCTTAGGAAGCTATAATACCCATCTTATAACCTGCAACGCAACACTCTGTCCGAGTGTACTAAGCATATGTAAGCTTGCTAACTGCAATTCGACTCGGTAAAGTTGTCCTCGGCAGCTACGCGATCAGCGCCATGTCACCATGCTCTCGGTGTGCAGGGAATCGAACGGCCTCGTCACTCATCTCGGCAAACGATAATTACCGACCCAAGTTCCTACGTTGTAGGGGGCCTGATCCGGGGTTTGCGAAGATGGCTCCGGGAGGGGCCGCATACGCGACTCCGGTACCAATGTTCGGTACTCGGAGAACGGACCGGGTACACGCAGCCGAAGTGCTTTGCATGCGGCCTCCGGCGATGGTATGGAGTCCGGGGGGGGGAATGGCCGGTCAGGGTATGACGAAAGGCCGGCTCCTCGTGTGAAAGGGGATTGAAACCGCAACCACGGTCATGGAATTGGGCAGAGCACCATCTAATTATGAAAATGCGACTCAGTGGTGGACCGCAAGTCCAGGGGAAGGGAAGTAAGATTCGTATACTGATTCCTAGTCATTGACAAGAAGACGTTGTAACTAACAACCACAACCCGAGGTCACGAAGTCAGGGGCAATCACAACCTCGTTCCTTCAAAACCACTTCCAAAGACCGCTAAGCCATCAACTCCAACCCTACACAGTACTGCGTATCCAGGGGGTGGCGAGTCCCCATCACCGAGGGACAACACGGAGTCATCACCAAACCTCATCAGCCTCAACACCAACCCAACCCATCACGACCTCAACATCATCCACCTCGGACACCACCACATCCGGCAGCAAGGAGCACCATTCGAGACAGCAAGCTCCCCCTTTCCGGCGTCACATCTTGTGGCAGTGCCAGACGCCACAGCTCAGCACACCACACCACACCACCACCCAACGAAACCCCCCCCCCCCCCCCCTCCTTCCCCCCGACAACGGAGAGTTACCGCAAATCCAGACCAAGATCCGTTGAGTGAAGCGGCGCGGGTTCCGAGACATCGGCGGCGCAAATCATGGAAGGCCGGCCTCCTGCTGCTCCCTCCCCTCGTCTTTCCGCGGAATCACGTCCCTTCAAGTCCCTCCCCGTCGGAAGGAAGTGGAGGGGAGTGTGTGGAGGGGCGTGGAAAGGACATACTCAACACGCAACAGACCAGTAGTTAAGTTCTGCGTCGTCCAAGTACACTACACCCACGCCACGGTTCCCATGCAAGCGCAACCCGCTTGGCCTGATCTGGCCTGACAGCTTTTCTGGAAGCCCCCCTAGCCCCGGTCATGGAAGAATGCGAGACGGAGCTAGTTAGCTGGTGGGCTCGTTGACTGTGCAGCAGCAGCAGGATCTCTGGAGGTGGCTGGGTATTTTTTCTTTTCTCTCGGACGCCCCCTGAGGCCTGCTAGTCCAGTTTTAGTCAACCATCATCATACTGACACGAGTTAGCTTCATCCGATGGGCGAATTCCTCCGCGTCCGGGCCCGTTTTTTTTCTTCGGGATTTTTTCTTCTCACCGGCTAGGCCAGGTCAAGGGGTGAGCACATAAATCTAGTGTACGAGCTAGTTGCGCAAGGCGAGGTAACTAAGTAAGGGCCAAGTCAGCT